TGTATCTATCACCCTCAGTTCTTTCCTCCTCACTGAGCCCTCATTCTGCTTCTGTGCTCTTCTCCAGGTCCCAAGGAGAAAGTACCTTCTCCTCTGGAGCTACTGCTTCCGCATCCTCCTCGGCTGGTCTCCTCGCGGGTGTCTCTGCAGCTTCTCCCAGCTCCAGAGTCATCTGCTGTATTTTCCCTTTCCAAGCAAGGCAGCAATGGCTTTTGTTGAGGTCCCCGATTTAAGTTCTCTCCCAAACAGTCCTCCATGGATTTCACTGTAGAACCACCAGGCACAGCTACTCTGATCCACGACTATCAAAGCCATCATGTGCTCCAGGCTTTCCAACTCCTCAGATTCGTTACATCCTTGTCTGAGATCCTGTCTTCATTACAGACAGCGGTGTCACAAGACCCGGTTACACCATGGTTATCCCTCATTCTGATTTAATTACCATACTTATTTTCTCTTGTACTAAAGATCTGAGAATATCCGTGTCATCGTGCTAGGCTCTACTCCAGCTCTAACCGGGCAGGATACAGCCAAGCTGTACCTGGATTCCGCCAATGGAATCTGTCCTCCATCACTGGAACTAGCAGAATTCCTAGCAGAATTCCACTGGAACCTAGCAGAATTCTTCCCGCGGGCACATGAAGAACCACTTTTCCTTGCTACCTTCCTTGAAGGATGTCTCTGTGCAGCGGCGTTTCGGCACCAAGGTGCCATGGCCTGGAGCGAGCTGCCCAAGGGCTCCTCATCACGGAGCCTCTTGCTGAGCTCTTCACCAAGGCTCCCTGTGCATCCCGGATTTCCCTTTCCCAGCACCCAAGCCCCAATGGGCTCAGGGACTGCTCACCCCGCTCGGCTAATTCCTGCCACCCCTCTGCCCTCGCCTGTTCCCTCTCCCGCTGCTCAGGCCCTGTCCCGCACAGCCGACCCTCGACTGGCTCCGCGCGGCCCCGCACGCCGCTCGTATGAGCCGCGCGCCCGGGAACGGCCCCTCGGCGGCTCCAATCCGGAGCGCCCGTGTTTCCCAACGCCTGCAAACAGCCCGGAGTGCAGCGTGTTCCAGCGCCGCCCCTGCGCCCGCATCCGCAGGAACCTGGAGAACGAAGCTGCGTCAGAGCTGCCAAAGAGGCAGTCGAGCTTTTTTTATTTTCTTTTTTGGAATATTTGCATGCTTTTGGAAAACCTCTTCTTTTTCACTCACAGTTTTCTACAGAAGCGCGTTACAATGCCAGGGGGAGTGAATCGCGTGCCTTCCACTCAGGAACATTGTGATAATGAGATAATGTGAACATGAGGGAACTCGACGCAATGGGAGATTTATCTTGGACCCAGGCCCTTGGCAGCATGAGCCCGTCCTGATGTCAGCACGCTGCTCATTGCATAAAGACCAGGGATCAGCCCCTGGACGGCAGAACCATTTCTATCTCAGGAGCATCCTGTAACACAGCGATGGCCATGAACATTGGTTACCCCTGAGAAAACATGCATTTCCTTTTTTTTCCCCATTTTTTAAAAATTCTGCCTAGTGTTCTCATGAATGACAGTTTCAAAGCTTTCGAAGCCCCTTCGCTGTCATACAAGAAGACACTCTGATTTATGAGGATACCCTATTTTGTGTAGCAGTGATAAAATGCCACTTAGAGGCAACTTCTGTGACAGGTATTGGAAGAGAGAGAAAAGACAGATCAGCCTGTGCCCTGGAGCTGAGTATGGTTAGCCCTGAAGCAGAGCTGCTGTGTGAAGGATGGCCACGGGGCTTGGCTCCTGCCTGGTTACCTGCTGTATCCCACATGGGATGTGCATGAGTAGAAGAAATGCCCTGGTGCTGGTATCCCTCATTTCTTGGCCTGCAGGGTTCCAGGTACTCGTTACCACCGAGCCGTGGAGCAGCACATGGATGTGCAGGACGGTCTGGAGAGCTCTGCCTGTGCGAGCAGGGAACAGGAGTGTCTAGTGCACAGAGAGGCCACGAGCGGCTTGGAGAGATGCTGTCACCACGTCACACGTGCTCGGCGTGCCGGCTCCCCTGGCGCTTCCTAAAATCAGTGTTAACCCGCCCAGAGACCGAGGAGAGGGACACACATGCACACCGATACCGAGTCAATTGCCCTAGAGCACACTCTGCTTCGTTTGCCTTCTCCCATGGGAACCCCATTCTCAGGTTGGATGCCCAAATGGCCCAGAAAATTGCTTTGCTTCCCACCTCAAGCGAGGTCAACGCTTAAAGTCCTTGTCTTCAAGTGTACCAGGGCCTGCAAACAGCCCGGAGAGGAGGTGGATGAGAGAGGCATGGTAGGAGGTGAAGGTTCGAGCTCAGAGGTCTCAGAGACCCCTGTCACAAGGAATTATATGGGCTCTGCAAACAGATAAGGAAACCCGGAGAGAGCAAATGCCGGTGTGCACAACCTTGACACCCCAATCAATGCTGTAGTTTAGCACCAGGAGCAATAGCCTCCGAGCCACATGCTGCATAGCAAACATTGCAGTTTTATCTGGATGACAGGCAGCAATTTGTGGCAAAGGGTAAATCTCTCGGTTCGCTCATGCTTGACATATGGATGGTCCTGCAACATTCCCTGATCTCAGCACGAACGTTCATGAATTTAAGGTTAAGTACGTACATGCCCTTAGGATCACGACCTTCCTTTAATATTGCACTGCCCAGCAGACCCATAATCAATCCCTAACTTGCACAAGTGACAGCTCCTGCTCAGTAATGTCAGCTATGTGGAATGACAAGGTACATCTAAATTCATAAATTTACGCTGGAATTCAGAGATGTTCTGGCTGTCAGAGCAATGAGGTCCCAGAGCAGCTTTCCAGCTGGATGAATGGGACCTATTACCGAAGACAAGTGTGCTCAGCCAGGTGGGATCACCAAGCATTTTATTCAACACAACAGTTCACAGGCTGGGTACATTTAAATAAGTTTAATGGGGTTTAATATTCATTCACCAGTAGTACCAGGTGTCAGAGCTCAGCTGCTTGAGGGCCAGAAACACGTCAAACACAGACAACCATTGCTCAGGAATCATCATGTTGTACAGCAAATCCGAGCCCCTGCCTGCCACACGGCCGGGGAGAGAAAACACCAGCGTTTTCCTATAGTCCCAACCCTGCAAAAGTGCACAAAGCCATTAAATTTTACTTTAATCATTTAAAAGAGAGCGAAGTTTCCTGGCCAATACATCCCCTGCAGCTGGTGGAAGCCAATGAGCTCAGCTGTTTGTCCCATGAGTGGGACGCAGTGGGGACATCTCCCTTTAGCGGCCTGTGTGCCACACACCTCACATGGAGGAGGATCTTTGCATTTTCTTTACTGATTTATTTATAAGGGCCATATGCAACAGCAATTCCATCCTCCCACGGTGGCAGAGCCGCACGCGGCCACCGCAGCGGGGCCCGATTTTGCCCCCTGGTGGAACCCCGGGATTTTTGCATCTTGGCAAAGACCGGCTGCTCCCGCAGCACTTGGGCAACCACAGGGAAGAGCCCCTGGCCACGCTCGGCCTGCACGGCCACCCAGGAGAACCCCAGCAGAGCCCGCATCGCTCTGGTGCCTGCAAGGCCACCCCGGGCTTGGCTGCGCGTGGGGAGAGCATCCCTGCTTGGGAATCCCGGGAGAGGGGGGAAATCGAGAGAGGGGGATCAGTGGATTTGCAAACTCAGGACATATAAAAGCTATAAAATGTCCTAACAACTGCAAGCCGTAACAGAAGCAGCCAGGTCTGGCATCCAGCACCCCCCGCCTTGCTGATGGGGACCCTCGGCACGGCCAAGGGGACGTTGTGCCACGGGTCCCGAGCGCGGTGACAGACAGCTGGCAAGGCTGGGCAAAGCCCCCGCTGGCTCGGCGCGCCACAAACGGGCACGACGCACACGGAATCAGTACGTTTGCTCACAAAGTAAGTTCGAGATCCCTCCAAAATGTCACATCGTGCTTCACTGGCACCTGTAGCCCTTTGCAACCCTCAGTCTTCAACGAACTGAAGGGAAGGTGCAGAGGAGAGAACAGCCCCTCTCCAATGCAGCCGGTGCCGCGGCACAGCCCGCTCAGGCCCTCGAGCTCTCCGCTTCCGAAGCCGACCTGGATTTCCGCCGGCTGGCCAGGCTGGCCAGGACGGACTCCTCGCTGAAGGCCCCTTCGAAGGCTGCCAGGATGGACTGGCGAAACTTCTCCTTGAAATCCGGCCCCACAAACACGTACAGGATGGGGTTGATGCAGCTGTTGAAGAAAGCGAGGCTGGAAACCAAGGGGATCCCTATGTAAAGGGCCATTTTCATCTCATGGCTGGAGGAGTTTTTGGATATTTCCAGCAAGGAGAAGACATGATAGGGAAAATAACAGAGGAAAAAGGAGACGGTGACAGCAATGATAATTCTGTACGGCTTCGCGGAGTTTCCTAACTGCCTCCTTCTCAGCTTGACAGCGACGACGCTGTAGCAGATGAGAATCACCGTGAACGGGATGAGGAACCCGCATAAGAACCGGGTTATAATCATCGCTTTGAGCCGCATCCTCCACAGCGCCCGTGTCGCCTCGGACGTGTAGTCGTCGGACAGCGCAAAGTTGTTGTAGCAGCTGGTGATGTTCCTGGGGCTGACGGCCGTGTCCCGAAAGACGAGGTACGGGGAGCTGAGGAGGAGAGCCAGGACCCAGGTGCCCAGCGCGATCCTGGCCGCCAGCTCCGGGCTCCTGCGGTTGTGCGACCACACGGGCAAGGCCACGGCGACGCAGCGGTCCATGCTGATGACCGTGAGGAGGAAGACGCTGGCGAACATGTTGAGGAAGGCGATGGTGCTGTTGAGCTTGCACAGGAGCTTCCCGAAGGGCCAGTGGAAGCCCAGGGCGGTGTAGGCAATGCTGAGGGGCAGGAAAAAGGTGAAGATGAAGTCGGCGATGGCCAGGTTGAGGAACCACACGGAGTTCACCGTCTTCTTCATCTTGAAGCCGGCAATCCAGATGACGAGGCCGTTCCCCGTCACCCCCAGCAGGCAGGCGACGCCGTACACCACCATGGACAGGACGTGCATGCTCCTCTGCAGGCCCGAGTAGTGCTCGTGCACAGTGCCGTTCCCAAGCAGCTCGGCGGGAGAGCTAGCGGAGAAGGGAGAAGGGGAAGAGGAGAAGTTCTCCATCCCCGGCGAGCCGGAGTCGGGAGATCACAGAGGCGCTCACTGCTGTTATCTGCAGTTCCTACGGGTCAGGCGGGGTAGAAATCTCTGCTTAACTACTGGACACAAAATATATATACAAAGACAGAATATAACCACTTCATATTATTTTAAATAACTCATTAACAACCACCCTTCTCTCTAGCAGCTGAAAGGAATCAAAGAAGCACAGGGAATTCAATCCGTTTCAATGAGATCCCAGGCAACCAAGACAGAGGGAGAGAGTCCGTGAATCCCTTGGGTTGATCTGATCCTAAACATGTCCTGGAAGTGACAGCATCTGACAAGTGCCAAAACATCTTATGGGCTCCCACCAAGTGGAAAACTCTAAGTCCTACTTTACGTTACTCCAAGGTGTTGCAGTGCGAGGGCTGGCGTCACCCGGCACGGCCTTCCTGGTGCCACCTGGCACGGGGAGCTGCAGAGCGGCCGCGCGGTGCCGGCTCCGCGCTGCACATCCCAACAGACACCTTCCCAATCGGGGAAACCAACCCAGGTATCGCCACCAGCGTCCCTGCTGGCAGAACAACCCCTCCATAACCGGCCTGCAGAAGCGATCACACGTGGGATGACAGCAGAGCCGGGAACCCCAAATCCCTGCTGCTGCAAGGGATATTCCTGGGATGGCCAAGGGCTGGTTAGGAAAGCAGGAGCACGGAGGACTCCCCGCAGCACCGCGCTCCTCGCCCGCCGCCGCTC